AGGGAGCCCGATGTGGGACTCGATCCCGGGACTCCAGGATCATGACCTGAGCCGAAGGCAGTCGCTTAACCAACTGAGCCACCCAGGCGCCCACTGACAATGAAGTTAAAATAGATCCATCTATATCCCAAATATTAACCTCCATAAAACAGAACTGTAAGATATCAAAGAAAATAGATGACTATAAATGAAGACACAGGAACCTCAATAACATATTAGTATGTTAGATCTGACTGATAACTATCAAATTCCATACTCCAAAAACAAATAACACCCCTTATTTTCAAATTTCTATGTAACATTCAAGAAAACAGCACATACAAATTTCAAAATGGGGAGAAAAGGAACCTGGGCATTGCCAGCAAAGAAACTGAGGTTTGAATCTCAGCTATGCCAATTAATTGGTTATAAGACAATGAGAAAAAGATCTGGCCTAAAGAATTTTCTAAGGATTAAATGAAATAATACTTTAAAGCTTAGTACGGTGTCTTAGATCAATAGGATGTTTGACTTACACTCCCAAAATTCTTCCTTTGGAAGAAAAGATTACTTTTGTGGTATACCAATCTCCTTACCTATAATAACAGCAAAAGATCATTCACAAATAATCTAAAATTCACATTTTTTTCAAAATGGAAATCCTTACTGTAATATTATATAAATTTAACTGATATATAAAAATGCATAAGTGGAATGCCTGGGTAGCTCAGTCGGTTGGGCATGTGCCTTTGGTTCAGGTCATGGTCCCAGGGTCCTGGGATTGAGTCCCACATCGGGCTCCTTGCTCAGTGGGGAGCCTGCTTCTCCCTCTCCCTCTGCTGCTCCCCTGCTTGTGCTCTCTCTCTCTGAGACAAATAAATAAATACAAAATCTTTAAAAAAATGCATAAGGTAATATGTGAAAGTCTCATTTTTTTAATGACTAACAATGCTACAAGAAATAAAAGCTACATTTTAGAGAATGCTTGCCACTTTCTTCAGGTGCAGAAATATATATAATATGCTATATGATTTGTGTATAAAATAGAGGGAAAATAAGAACATTCATGTGTGCCTGTACATTCAGAAATTAAGTCAAAGAAAACATAAAACAAATTAATAAAAAATGATTTCTTTTGCAAGTCCTATCGGGAACTAAGCAAATAGATGAAGTTAGATTCTTCACTGTATACCTTCTTTTTAATTTAAAATTACTTTATTTTTTAAATTTTATTTTATTGTTATGTTAATCACCATACATTACATCATTAGTTTTTGATGTACTGTTCCATGATTCATTGTTTGTGTATAA